TAGTAATAGATTAGTGCTCTCTCTCACATGTAAGTTGCTAAGGTGAGGCATGAATCTCATGTGGTTATTTGAAAGCTCCTATTACCTTGGATGGCAGATGGAAACGATAACATGTGTTTCGTCTATGTCTCCCGCATACCAATTCCTCAACTTGCAAGACCACCACCCAACTCCAGACGACCAGACATCATGGGGAAAATTGGAACCCCCCCAAGGGTGTGTGATGAGGCTCCTTGTCGATGTCGATGTGGGGTGTAACGCTAGACTGGGGTTTATCGGGAACGACAGAGATTAGGGTGTGTCTTGTCACTCGATTAGATGGGATAATGGCAACGCGATTGCCTATCGAGTGAGCTTTTTTCTGACTCCCGTCCTTTATCTCTGAACACGGAAGACAAGGTACTTTGCAATTGTCGCATGTTTGTGTGCCGTGCCGTGCGTGCTAAGCTGAGCTCATGTAGTGCCTAATGCATCCCGTCCTGGCATCGGTCTTGTATCGGATGCGGACGCGGACCTCGATGCCATGACGGAAAGAGTGATGGAGCGAGCCAAGCGACCATCTCTTACCATTCTTTTGCAGTCCTCGATAACCATATAAACCTCGCCCTCCCGTCGCCTTTCAAGACGCTTTCCCTCCCTCCTTATCTCACATTCACACGTCTCGAAAAGTGTATCGAACCTCTTCGCAATCTTGCTCCTAGGAGGAATCTATTTCTCAATCACCACTTTCGATACAAACATCCCAAATGCAGCTCAACACCATGTCTCACCTTCCCCAAGAGCCAGAGTTCGAGCAGGCTTATGGTGGTAGGTAACCTATTATGTGCATTAATGAGAACATAAACCCTAACTTGCAATCTCTAGAGCTCGCCTCTGCCCTCGAGAACAGCTCCCTCTTCAACGAGCACCCCGAGTATCGTACTGCCCTTGCTGTGGCCGCCATCCCTGAGCGTGTCATCCAGTTCCGTGTCGTCTGGAATGACGATAAGGGTAACCTCCAGGTCAACCGCGGTTACCGCGTCCAGTTCAACGGTGCCCTTGGCCCCTACAAGGGCGGTCTTCGATTCCACCCCAGCGTCAACCTGTCCATTCTCAAGTTCCTTGGATTCGAGCAAATCTTCAAGAATGCCCTGACTGGCCGTAAGTGACCTCATCGCCGCGCTTGTCTGGTCCCTGCATATTGCGGGGCGATGGAATTGGCACAAGTGAATAAACCAGACTCGCTAACATTGTTCTAGTCAACATGGGTGGTGGTAAGGGTGGTGCCGACTTCGACCCGAAGGGCAAGTCTGATGCCGAGATTCGACGATTTTGCCAGGCTTTCATGACTGAGCTGTCCAAGCACATTGGTGCTGAGACTGATGTCCCTGCTGGTGACATCGGTGTCGGCGGCCGAGAGATCGGTTACCTCTTTGGCGCCTACCGCAAGCTTCGCAACCGTTGGGAGGGCGTCCTCACTGGAAAGGGTCTTTCATGGGGTGGTAGCTTGATCCGACCTGAGGCTACTGGTTACGGTCTCGTCTACTATGTCGAGTACATGCTCAAGCACGCCAACCGTGGCACCTTCGAGGGCAAGCGTGTTGCTCTCTCCGGCTCCGGAAACGTCGCCCAATACGCTGCTCTCAAGATCATCGAGCTCGGTGGCTCCGTTGTCTCTCTTTCCGACTCCAAGGGTGCTCTCGTCGCCAAGGAGGGTTCTTCCTTCACACCCGAGCAAATTCACAACATTGCTGCCCTCAAGATCAAGCACCAAGCCCTGACCACTTTCGAGCACGATGGGCAGTTCACATGGATTGAAGGTGCCCGTCCTTGGGTCCATGTTGGCAAGGTCGACATTGCCCTCCCCAGTGCTACTCAGAACGAGGTCAGCAAGGAGGAGGCCCAGGCTCTTGTTGACGCTGGCGCCTTCATCGTCGCTGAGGGTTCCAACATGGGCTGCACTGCTGAGGCTATTGATGTCTTCGAGGCCCACCGCAAGGAGAAGGGTGCTGATGCTCTCTGGTACGCCCCTGGCAAGGCCTCCAACTGTGGCGGTGTCGCTGTTTCAGGCCTTGAGATGGCTCAGAACAGCCAGCGTATCCAGTGGACCGAGAAGGAGGTTGATGACCGCCTCAAGGCCATTATGAAGGACGCCTTTGTCGCCGGTCTCGAGACTGCTCAGAAGTACGTTGAGGCCAAGGAGGGTGAGCTTCCCAGCTTGATTGCTGGTAGCAACATCGCCGGCTTCATCAAGGTTGCCGAGGCCATGCACGACCAGGGTGATTGGTTCTAAATGGACAGTTAAGGATGCCTGGAGCGAGATAAGAGACCTACCAGAGAGACCGCAATACCCGAGCTGGGCTCACATCAAGGCTCTCTGATCTTGTCATCATGATTATCTCGTCCAATGTGACCTATTTCTGCACGAAAAGGAGTTTCATTCTTGGCTACTATCAGGGCATGCATACTGTTGGGCGTTGGCGGGGTTTACTTTTGTTTTTCTTCACGATAGACGTGGGCCTGGATCTTATATAGCTTTTTTCACCTGTTTCCTTTTACTTTTTCTCCTTTCCAGCCCGATAGAACGAGGAATGAAACAAAATACTTTTGATTCAAAGTTAATGAGAGCGCTGTGATATATGTTTGGTTAACTTGTTTGCATCTACCTTAGAAGAGAATAAGCTTGATCCTTTCAAAAACGTTTAAATCTTAATCGTTGTCATTGGACAATGATTCTATTTCACTGAATGATAGTTTGAGGGGCATTATGTAGTTTAGTAAAGAGACCCTGTTTCTTTCAATGTGGTGTAAATTTCTTTGGTATCGTGTGCTGCGCTTCAATGCGATCCAAGATCTCACGTATTTCCAGTGAAGTTCATTCATAGCCGTCCCCACTTCGGCATGTAACATTAAGTAGCCAAGGATCTGGGACAGAATGGCTTCGGCGTTTCCCAGGTAGTCTAGTCTGGGTAAATTTATGGTTCCTGATTGTTCACTTGTGGAACCTCGGTTGATGGTGTTACCGCGGGGAAGTGTTACCTCCGTAAAAGCTCCTGAGGCATCGGATCTTATATATCCCCTTCGTTCTAGTTGTAAGTCAGATATGATTCCTTCAGCCTTACTTGATGTAATTGAAGGCCTTGGTTTGACCCTATTGCTGCATACTTAATCTCATCTTACCTTCAATATCGCCTACCATGGTGCAGCATCCTCCTTTGACTGGCATCAAGGTGCTAGAATTCGCTGGTCTTGCTCCTGGTGAGTACACCAAAGACAAATGAAAGAGCAAAGTTGATGAACCGATTCTCTTTGAAGGACCTTATGCTGGCATGTTGCTCGCTGACGCAGGTGCCTCGGTTCTCCGCATAGACCGTGCTCGACCCGACGCATCTGCTCCTACAGAAGACATGCTAGCCCGGCATAAATCCTCCATATCCGTGGATCTCAAATCAGAGCAGGGTGTTGCGCTTATAAGGCGCCTCGTTGCCGAGGCCGATGTCCTCATTGACCCTTTTCGTCCAGGCGTACTCGAGAAACTGTCTCTGGGTCCGGATGAGCTGTGCCGTATTAACCCAAGTCTTATATATGGCCGCATGACTGGCTTCCGTCGTGATGGAAAATATGCACTAATGGCAGGCCACGATATTAACTATCTTGCCGTTTCAGGTACACTGGGAATGCTGGGCAGAGATGGCGAGAAGCCACATCCGCCATGGAACATTCTGGCCGACTTTGCGGGTGGAGGAGCAATGCTATTCGAAGGTATCTTGATGGCTATCATCTCAAGACAATCTTCTGGCCGCGGACAAGTTGTCGAGGCAAACATGGTAGATGGAAGCTCATATCTGACCACTTTTCCTCGAATGGCGCTCAAGACGATAGTGGGCAACAGTGGCCGAGGAAACAATTTGCTCGATGGAGGTGCTCCCTTTTACGACACTTACGAGACATCGGATGGCAAATATGTCGCCGTCGGAGCTCTTGAACCGCAGTTCTTTGCCGTTCTTCTTCGCGGGCTCGAGATTGCTGGTCAAGGGTGGGAGGAAGATCAGCACAACAGAGATCGCTGGCCCGAGCTTCGGCATTTATTGGCAGATAAGTTTCGAAGTAAGACTCGTGCCCAGTGGGAACTAGTCTTCGATGGCACAGATGCGTGTTGCACCCCAGTGCTGGAGTATAGCGAACTAGAGGACGACCCCAAGCGGGAAGGTGACCAGAGACCGGCGGTGACCTTGCGGGAGACGCCGTGTCTTGCTGTGAAAGAGGGTGTAGGGCGTACAGACCCATCTCGGTTTGGACAAGGCCCAGGTGTGCCCGGAGACGGCTATAGAGCGAAGCTGCTGAAGCCTGGAGCAGGGGGGGAAGAAGTCTTGAGGAACTGGTTGGGATGGGAGAACGGAACCGAGTATGTACTGGAGCGGGGAGGATTCGTGCTCAAGGAGCTTTCCAAGCTGTGACATGTACTATGTATGAGCGCCGTATCTTATACAAGGCACCATTGGCTTGCGCCAATCACAGAAAGACCAGATAACTTGTGTATTAGGGCAGAGGCACCAAAGAGAGAGAGTTGCGTTGGATGCACACTCAGAAGGGCAATGATTATATATTCTACCTACAACAGGACCTCTCTACACAATTTACCGAGAACTAACAAGTAAGCTTGGTAGGAAGCACAAGCCAGTAGCTGTCCAGCCAACACAGTACCACCATTTGCTCCCGCTTCCTCGACAGCGCCCCAGGACGATTCCACGCCTGCAAACCCTGTCGCACGCAAGGGTCAAGCCATGCATCCCAAATAAGTCATTAAGCAGTCTACTCTAGGCCTCCCCCTGAAAAATGTGGTATCGAAAAATATAAATAAACTGATGCTCAGGACGTCATGAGAAGAGGTCGGGAGACGACTGCTGGGTAGTTATCCCCCTGGGGCGTTTGATTCGTAGGTGGAGAAGCTGCAAAAGGGCTCAGTCTGACCCCGATGCTGAGCAGTGAAGTCATGATAAGAGTCTTTGTCCATCGCCACATCACTGCACTTGACTGACGATCTCACTAGCCTTCGAGAGAGACTCAACCATCTGCTGGCACTCTTTTCTCCGTCGGATTGTGAAGTCACTCTCTTTCAGAAGGTCATCCAATGTGTCGGTTCGGTACATGTTCTCCAAGAGCTCTCGTTGCATTTCGTCCTTGGTAAACCTATAGCTGATATTAGACAACTTGAGGGAATCTCTGGCCGCGGAACACTTACTGCACAAGATTCAGCATGACAGCCTTGGGGACCATGTCAATCATGGTTCGCTTGACAATATTATAGTAAGAGGAGATGAGAAGCTCTGTACAATCATTAGTATTATATCATAGAAGCCAAACGATTCATCTAAACGCACTGATAACCTCAACCTCGATGTTCTCGCGTTCTGACAGGGTACCAGAAGCCTTGAGAGTGGGTGGAGGAGCTTCCATAGCGGCGGCCTTTTTCTTGTTCTTGGCCGCGAAGAAGCTACCAAAAAAGCCCGAGTTACCGGCGCTATCGGCATCGGGGACTGTTGGGCTGGCAGCCCGGGGGGTTGATGCAAGTGGCTTGCCAGTCTTGGGGTCAACCTGAACAGGCTTGCTGGGGTTGTATCGCTCATTCACCATTGCCATTGCCTGATATATCAGTTTAGAGCCATTTCAAGTAAGCTCAAGATCGAATAACTTACTCGGTGACCGTTCAAAAAGTCGGGGTGGCCTGTGTTGACATAGCATGACTCCATAGCAACCAAATCTCTGACAAGCTTGTTGGTAGGTTCCATAGCCTTCTTGAAAAAAGCAATTACTACGCCATGCATCTTTTCCTTCAGTTGAGGGTATCGGCGGTAAAGCTGCTTGGCAAGAAGCTGTGACAAAATTCGAACAAGTTCATCGTATACTAGAGAAACACACTTCAAGCTGGGATCTTCCAGTCGCTTGATCTGCTGTTTCACAATCAATTCGAAGGCGGTAGTACCAACAAAGAGCGCTGGAGAAGATCCAGAAGAGTTATAGAGGATGGTACGGATGTCGACATCCTTGACAACATCAAATGGGTCAATGGCCTTGACACCATTCGAGTAAAGCTCGTGGAAGACAAAGCTGATACGAGCACCTCCCGAAAGCTCAGTGCTGGACAGCTCAGTGTTGTTACCATCCAGAACTGTGCGCCACTCATTGGTGAACTCGGTGATAATATTCAGAACGATGTTGGCGCTATTGCCGAGCATAGAAGGGCCGAGGCTTTCCAGCTCAGCCGAGTACTTTTGAAGCGAACTGCTGATGCGGGCCTTGATGTCAGGCAGGGTCTGTTTGATGTGCATCATGAGAATGAGATTAAGTTTGCGCGCGAGATAAGGAGTTCCACAGTATGAGCTCTTGTTTCGGTAAGCCTTATGGTTTTCGAAAAAGTTCTTCTCAGCCTCGAGCGCCTGGTTGATGGCCTTTCGGTTATCAATATCTCGTTGGCCTCGATTCACAACGGGGACGTAGCCCAGCCGAAGAGGAATGACACGGTTCGACAGAATATCGATGACATCGGTTCCCTCATCCATCAGATCAACCTTGGTCAAGACTCCGATCGTCCTCTGACCTTCAGGGTCAACCTCTCGTGCCAGCTTGAGACCGTCCGAGTTGGCCAAATCCTGGTTGGCGGCAGTGACTGCAAGTATGATGGCGTTGGACTTGCCAATATGTTTAAGAACCATCTCCCTGATCTGTCGTTCGATATCGCGGGGCTGGTCTCCGACTGGGACCTTGGTAAGGCCGGGCAAATCGACCAGGGTCAGAGTGAGGACGTTGGGCGAGTAGATACGAAGGTTGATGGGAGCGGGGGAGATGCCGGCATTTCGTCCAACCTTGGCTTCTGTCTCTCTCTCGATCTCGTCTCGAATCTTGGAGAAGTCGTAGAACTTCTGTCCAGGGGCATGAAGGAACTCTCCCCACTCATCGGCATTGGCCTGCTTATCGTTGGTGGTATCAACCTCCTCGGCCTTGACTCCATTGCTCTGGGGCGCGCGGTTGATGAGTTGAAGAACGAGGGGACGTCGGGTTACAATACCAGAGCCTCGGGGCAGGCTAAGAGGGGCGGTCAGTCTGATGGCGACCTAACATAGGCGGTATGCAGCAAACTCACAAGTCTCGACCGACAATATTCTCCAAAACTGAACTCTTTCCACTTGACTGACTTCCCACCACGGCGATCTGAGGCAAGTCGATAGGGTTGTTGACACCGACAGTCGCGAAAACATCCTGAAGCTTATTGACAAGTCTATCAATGGAAGTTAGAGGTAGGGTAGATTTGGAGGGTTGGCATCGTGACTAACTGGATCAGGGCGGGATCCGAAATGCCGCCCTGCGAAGCAAGGGTGCCGCTCATGTTCGTTGATTCTTCCAGCTTGAAACTGTGTACGCTTGAACGATGCGTAAAATCGAGCGAGTTGAAAACGATGGGTGGGGGAGGAGGGTTACTGGTTTATTTAACCTACGGAAAGCGGTCGAGGCAAAAGATAGCAGGAAACGTTGCGCAAGCTTGGAAAAGGGCACCACAGCAGCCCTGGTTGATCTGTAAGCTTTTCAAGCGTACAAGTCGTGAGAATGAACAGCGTTCGGGGTCTGAAGGTCGTTGTATATAAGTGATGGGTGGTGTTGCTAGAATAAAGGAGGGAACTCGCAGGACGACAGCGAGTTCACGAGCCTAACGGCACTAAGAATTGCGCGCCGCATTACGTCCTTACATTGTGCCACAACAGTGTGGCGCAGGAATTCCCAATCTCAGCTTTTATTGCCTTACATAACTGGTCCAAAAGCTTAGCGTTCCATCAATCATACTGCACGTGACGGCCCTGGATATCATTCTGGCCAACATGGAAGCTCAGAACTCTGTAGCCTGATGAACACGTCAGCCTGTGATGGCCCAAAAGATAAAAATGGTTGCCTTCCTTTAGGCGGCATACCTAAGAGACGCCATGACGATACTGTCATAACATGGTTTCAATGGTAGGTAGGTACTAAGCTTCTCCTGTTTATAGGCCCTCAGTATAGATGTTCAAATTCAAGGTACCTATTCATCTCACTTATCAAAGTTCCATCAAAAAGCGAAACAAAATGGACTTTGGGTTTAACATGTGTCTGATTCTATTCAGTCAAACCCAGGAGCGGTTCATTTGTTTTGTCAATCCTATTTTGTCGGTGCTTTACAGGTGTCTAAGGTACTTCAAGGACACTTGTACTATTAAACCCCTGTTCATACAATCAGTTTCTGTCTTTTGATGTCAATCTTCAGGCGGCGATAAAAACCCAATCAGCCATGCCTCAATTCTAATTTGTTATTTTGAAAAGAAAAAGGAGTTATCTCGAGGCCCTAACAGGGTATAGAGGAGGGATCATGTGCATGAAATACAGAAGTAGTGGAAGAGCTACAACTACAAGATGTCCGTCTTGTGCACGAGATCCATTGTAAGCTGGTACATAGATAGGTAGTTAGTGATGCAGTAGCTTGCTCGGGGACTGTCAGCATGGTGGTAGACTTTGTATTAGAGAATGCAGCAGAGGAGCAGTCAGAACATAAAAGTTTCTGGTCATCCACCCCCTTGAAGAAAGCACACTGTAAGACATCCCCGGGATTTCACATAGCCAGGCGCAGTCCAGGACTCGGGAGTATCTCTCATTTGCGGTGACGATACGATTTGAACGTCATCAGCTAAGGCTGCAGTGGTGTGGGGGTGACACTGCGTCTTAAGCCGAGACGCTAACTGACGGATGGGTGAGAAGTTCCATGAGGTCTTTGAGTTGGCTGTCAATAAGAGAATGCGTGCCTATATAATTAATTCTTTGGGGTACAAGAAAGAAAATTACTATCAAAAGTGATGGGATATTAAAATAGGTAGGAAACAGAGGCAATGCTGAATAGGCTATCTCGTCTCGCAAACCTCCACTCATTCCGCCCTCTGATCCATAATTCCCAATGTTTATGCCACTCAATGTCAGCCACAGTGACCGATTGTTCCAGGGGTAGACCCGGGGAGGTGTGCTGTACACCTCTGCTTGCTGGCTGTAGGAGAAGCATTCAAGGGTGTTCACGGCTCCTAATTAGTTAGCACCGGCGACAACAGGAGAGCTCTGCCATACCTCAACACATAGCACCATAACTGTGGACGTAGTCACCAAGACCACCATAATGATAGCTCTGATGATCTCGTTGATACTCATAAATATTGACATGAGTCGTATCTGGCTTACTCAAGCGACTCATTTATAAGAGACCAAGACGGCGGTTTCCTCCAGCATCCTCACCTCGTCACATGCACACCTACCTAGGTACCTTGCTAACTGACCACAGCTGCTAACCTGACCTACCTTACCTATCAAGCGCCACCACCTCCACCTCCCGCTTCCAACCACCATCCATTACATACACTACTAACCTTACATCACAATACCACGACTCTTCACATTCATCCTGCCTTTTGTCATCGTGCTCGCCTTCTCGTTGTTTCGTTATCTTGCCTGAGCACTGCCTTTTCTGGTCGGAGGCCAGTTTTCTACTAATCAAGCTACCCCCAGATTCCACCGCGGCAGGAAACCGCGGAGAGGCCGTCCTGGACTCCTCCGGCGAGCCATCGCACCCAAATCTACACGACACCACTCCCAGTGATCCAGACACGCCACATCTTCTCTCGAACTCTTCTAACACTACTGCTTCCGCCCATTCCTCCGCCGTCTCCCCGGCTAACGCAACCGCACCCCAACCCCATCGACAAAACCGGAATCAGACACAGACTGGCATCGCGAATATAGATTCTTCGGCTGCCAGATTTGAAGGACTTCCGGGTCAAGTACCGGCTCGGATACTCGGACGACGTCAACGCTCCCCGGCTCCTGACCGCCGTTTCGAACCGTCGACCGGCCAATCTTACACGCCAGACGGAAATCTTATCGCTGAGCCTAGAGCAAAGCGACGAAGAGGGAACGTCACCATGGGTGGCAGTGACATTCTTGATCCCCATAATGGTGCTCCTTTGGGAATATCTAATGGATCAAATGATGTGTTTTCAGGGGTGACAAACGGTAACAAGACTGCCATGAACGGGTCTTCAGCTCGAGATAAGAACACTTCGGTCATTAGAGGCAACGAACAATCCTCAAAGTACTTTGGCCATGATCGCGAGGAGGTAACCCGACTATTGATACAAGCGTTGTCAGACATGGGATATCGGACTGCCGCAGATAATGTGAGCCAAGAGAGTGGGTATGAATTGGAAAGTCCAACTGTAGCCGGCTTCAGATCCGCTGTTCTGACCGGGTCATGGCCCGTGGCAGAAGAGTTGCTTGCTGACGCTTCGTTGGAGACTGAAGGCCCAGGTAACGGCCTTGTATTGGCACCTGGCGCTGACCCCAACGCCATGAGGTTTTGGTTACGACAGCAGAAGTTTCTGGAGCTTCTGGAGCGGAAGGATACAAGTAAGGCCCTGATAGTACTTCGAAGCGAGTTGACACCGTTATCCCATGACACTGGTAAACTGCATTTCCTATCAGGTCTACTCATGTGTCGTTCGGTCGAGGATCTTATGGCAAAGGCTGAATGGGATGGTGCGAATGGCGAATCTCGAAAGCTGTTGCTCTCGGAGTTATCAAGTACGTATCCCGTCGAATTGTTTGGTTCCGTGCTGACATGAGAAGAATGCATATCACCGTCGGTCATGCTCCCTGAAAACCGCCTGGCAGTCCTTCTTGAGCAGGTTAAGCAGAGTCAGATCGACACCTGTCTATACCATACTGAAGCGTTATCGCCTTCGCTCTACTCAGACCACTTTTGTGACAGACGCAACTTCCCAACGGAGGTCGCATTGGAGCTTTCGAGTATGGGCGATGAGATTTGGCAAGTACAATTCTCCCATGACGGAACCAAGATAGCGGCGTGCGGCAGTAGTCCAGAAGTTATGATATGGGATACACGCACCTTCAAAGTTTTAGAGTCTCTCGACGGCCATGATGGCGGTGTCGGCAACATCGTTTTTAGCCCTGACGATTCCCTGATTCTCTGCTGCTCGAGAGACGGGCACGCAAGATTGTGGACTACGAGTGTGAGCTATCACCAAATCCTTGTTCTCATCCCCGAATGCAGCACTAACAGCGAGCTTAGGACGGGACTTTGATCAGGAAATTTCCCAAATTCGAGGAGCCTGTGAGCGGCTGCGTCTGGGCTCAGGACAGTCGGTCACTAGTTGTTGGAACGCTAGATCCTAATTACAGCCTTCGAACTCTGAACCTGGATACGAGTGAGCAGTACGAGTGGGGGGTAAAGCATAGAGTCCAGGACCTATGTGGATCGCCAGACGGTCGCTGGCTCGTGGCCGTGGACAATCAGCAGACAATACACGTCTATAACGCTGTTACACGAGAATTGGAGTTTGATATGGAACTTAAAGCCCGACCGACATCAGTCAACATCAGCCAAGACTCGCGTCATCTTCTTGTCAATAAGTGCGACGGTGAAGCTCAGCTCATTGACCTCTTGACGCGGAACTCGGTCCAGAAGTTTTTCGGTCACACAGGCGGTGACTATCTAATTCGATGTTCGTTTGGTGGAGCCAACGAGAGTTTTGTTCTAAGTGGTAGTGAAGATGGCAACATCGTTATATGGCATAAAAACACGGGTGCGGCAGTCGAACGCCTACATGGTCATCATCCCCGCTGCAATGCTGTTGCGTGGAATCCTACCGACTCGTATATGCTCGCATCAGCGGGAGATGATGGCCGAATAAAGATGTGAGTGTCCTTCAGAGTGTTATCTTGGAGACCCAACGAGTAAGTCAACAGCTAACACGAATCCCAGCTGGTCCAACAAAACGGTCAGCGGTGAATTAAGGGCTCGCCATAGTCAAGCAGGCAACGGCTGGACAGCAGAGGAACGATGAATACGGCATCGCCAAAGACTCCTGACGCATTCTAGTGACTTTTTTTTATGGCAGGAAGAACATGGTGGGCGTGCTTTGTGTTTGGCTTATAGAGTAGATGGAAGCGAATGTACGGAAGTATAACACCAAGATTATTTAGGCCGGCACAGCCATAATTATGATGGGCTGAGAAGAATAGGGGAGATAACCATGGATGCTCGGCGTTAGGTCTAGGTGGTGGCTGATGTGTAAAACGAGATGTCTGAATAATCTGTCAAGTGCCTCACCCTCCTGTATTCATGTAGGCAGACGCATGAATATGAAATCCCATCTTCACAATCCGTCTCCTTGCCGTTTCGACCTTGGTAGACTGGAGCGAGTGCCCTTTGTGTGCCGAAAACTTAACTTCTTGCGCTTGACCGGATAGATTGCGAAATCGTTCCTCACAACATATACTCAGCCAAACTAGCAGAAGAGAGTT